TTTAAACAACTCAAATCAATGTGCTACTATATAGCAATAGGCATAGTTCACTGCAATAGAGAGAATTCAAAAATACACTGATATACATATGGACACCTGAATTAGGTAAAAATGCCAGGCAATTTAGTGGCTAATTTTTCGAAATACTGTACTAGAATGCCAAATAGCCATAGATGAAAAATGAACTTTGACCCATATCCGATATCATGAATAAAAATTAACTGAACATGGAGCACAAGCTAAATGTAAGCCCTAAAACTAAAATTTTTGGAAGAATATCTTTGGTTTTTAAATAGGCAAATATTTATTAAAAAACAAGCAAAATGAAAATCCACTAAGAAAAAATTTGGCAATCCCAACTTAATCAAAATGTTCAACCTATACACATGAAAGTCACAAATGAGTGAAAAGATATGCTGCAGACTAGAAAAAAAAATATTCTTAAATTATACTTTCAATAAAAGGTGCATAGCCAGAATATATAAAGATTTTTATGAACTTAGTAAACAAACAACCCAATAATGAGCAAAATATTTGAACAGAGATTTTGTGAAAGATCAATACAGTCATTTATCAATAACTACATTTAAGCCAACTCTGGAAACTACCTGATGGTGGTTCCATATGACTGTATCATTTAGCATCATAATAGTTGAATTTGTCTTAGTATACTCTATCATGTCCAAGAAATGACTAAATAACCTACTGATGCATTTCTTCAAACATGTCTCTACAATTAAGCAATGCACAGAGTCTAAATAAACGCACAGAAAAATGTTTAAAACATCATTAATCACTAGAAAATTGCAAATTAAAATCTAGAACAAACTTCCACTATGTGTATGGCCAAACTAAAAAGACCACAGCAGCGGTTGGCAAGGATGCAGAACTGTAATTCTCATAAAGTGGTAGTCAGGGTGTGAACGGCACAGTCCGCGTCTTCACCCTCAGGACTACGCCCCAAACCGCTCCGTGCAAGTGTGAAACCGAAGAGAGTACCAATATGTTCTTTCCTATATAAGAATAGTAAGAATTTGACAATAACAATAATACATTGGAGCTATAATAAAATACTATCATAAACTTTTTAAACCTATGAATTATTTCTGGCATTTTCTATTTACCATTCTGGCATTTTCAGACTACATTTGATGACAAATAACAACCACAGAAAGTGAAATGATTGATAGGGAGAGACTGACTACTGTACAAACTTTTTTAAAAACTGAGTTTCTTTTAAAAAAAATGTTAAGCCTATATCCACCATATGACTCAGCCATTAATTGCTTAGGTATTTCCCTAACACAAACAAAATCACATGTGCATACAAGGATGTATTCCTAAATGTTCACAGCAACTTTACTGGTAAGAGTCAAAAGCTAAAACACACTGGTCATGAGTAAATGCAAGCTGATAAAGAACAAGCTGTAGAATATCTGGGCAGTGTAATACTATTCACAAAAAGCAACATGCATAATCACAAAATAATTATGCTGAGTGAAAAAAAGAAGTAGGAGCATAATCATTCCATTTACATAAAATTCTAGAAAATGCATACTAACTTACAGTAACAGAAAGATCATTATTTGCCTGATATTAGATTCAAAGAAGGCTAAGGAGGAGATATTACAAAAGGTCCTAAGAATGTTTCAGGATAATGGTGTTGTGGGTACATACACATGTCAAAATTTAACATACCATATACTTTAAACATGTGCAGTGTACTGTGTGCCAATTATATTTCAAAACAACACACAAAAATATGGAACTAAGAAAAATGCAGTTGCCTTTAGGCATGGACCTGAGCTTAGGAAAAACAGTGGGGCAAGAAGTTGCTATGTTTCCTTCTAAGATGCTGGTGGCATTTTTCTTTCACCATGAAAGGTTATTGTGATAGTAAAAATGAAAATTAATAGCAAGAAGATAGAAAAGGATACCAAAGAGAGACAAGCACATGTTTTTCAACATCCACAGGTGAAAATTTGTCCACATAGGGATATTCTTTGTGGTAATTCTGGAACTATTTGCTTCACTATTGAATCCAAAGAATTGAGCATACCTCTGGAGACAAAAGTATTTAACCTTTATGTTTGTATGAGCCATCACCAATATATTATCAAAAGAATAAAAATTACCACCTAGGGCTATTTTAAAATCAATAATAATGGTTTTGTGATCTAGAAACACACGACCTTAACCAACCTTATTAACTGTACAGCATATTGGTACAGTAATGTTACAGAAATCATTAACTAGTTGGTAACACCTACCTAGTGACAGGATGCCTTTGCATTGAGCCAATGAAATAAAATTTAACAGAAATATAACCAATTTCATAAGAACTTAAGCAGTGAGATGAAAACAACTTTACAAGTATGGAGAGTACAGAAGGGAATTGAAATAATCCCTGGAAGCACACAGTAATGGGAAAGAAATGCTGGGAGTATCAAATCTTTTTTATTTGCATTAAAATTGTGTCTGAATTAATTATATGTTTCCATTTGGGGAGAAGATCTTGATCTCTGCTCTTCCTTCTCTTCTAGTGTCAATATGCGAGATTTGATAGCATTGGTAGTCATGCATTCATGTAAGGAATGTTTTGATTTGAAAAAAAAGTTTAAAAATAGCTGGGCATGGTGGTACATTCCAATAACCCCAGAACTCTGGGAGGCTGAGGCAGGAGGATCACAATTTAGCATCTGAACAATTTAGCAAAAACCTATCTCATAAAAATTTTTTTAAAGATCTGGGATATAACTCAGCATGGAGGCCCTGGGTTCAATCTCCAGTACTACAGAGAGTCAATCAACTTTTTTGTTTTTGAGACAGGGTCTTCCTAAGGACAATAAACTATATGTCCAGATCAGTTATACTGACAAACATCTGACTGAGTTAGCCCTCAAAGGCATCCTGCAGTCTACCAGGATACAGGACCCATCTCCAACTCTTTTCTATCCCTCTCCTGACAAGTTTAGTCAGGTTCTCCACAAATGGAGAGTATCCTTGGAGAGTAGAACAAGACAGATCCATTTGGAATTAACCAATAAATCACACACACACACACACACACACACACACACACACAGAGCCCAAGTCTGCTCTTTATCATCCTCATTCAGAAGAAATGGTTGAGACCGAGGGCAAGAAAGAATGGGTATGTAATGGTAGGAAAATCAGTTTGTCCTGAATACCAATAAGGCCTCAAATAGTTTCAGATTAGTTTGAACAGGCAAAGTGGGAAAAAATTTTACATATGTATGTATAAACATATATGCAACTACATCATGATCTTCTGTAGCATCTTTGTTGATCCAAAATTAGTAGATGTTTTAACAAAATCTCACGAATGTGGGTATTCCAGAGAGACTGTTTTTCCACCTGTTTTAGTTGTCCACCTGCCTGGTGGTGTTGGCACTGGCAGCACCTCCAAGAGCAGAAGCCTCCACGCTCATTTTACAGATGAGAAGATGAGAGGTTAATAGTCTTGATCAAAGTCCAGCAGTTAGGGAAAGAGCCAGGACTCAAATCTACCCATCAAGACTCCCGAGCCTGCCTTAGGCTCTCTCTCCTATTCCCCTGTGAGGTTACTGTGAGCCCTAGGGTTCTACAGAAACAGGGCACCATAGTTAACACAGGTTGTGTTTGCATGCAGGTGCTGCACAATGCAACCAGCTGGAAGCTGTGGGCATGCTGAAGCCCTCCTCTGGCCTCTCCCTTAGGAGCTCTGTAGGCCACCTGGGCTCTCAGGGTAGTAAAGGGGCCTCAGGTGCTCCCTCATATGCAGCCACGACCGGAAGCACTGCCATGCAACGAGGCCTGGTGGGAATAACACCTGCTAATAATTAAGACAGCTTTTCCAATTGTCATGCTGATAAAAGCAGGTATTTCGTGCTGAAATTTTGTATCACTGATTAGGGCAACCCTACTCTCAGGTCCGGGCTGGCTCTGGGCAGATTTAAGCTTTCATTTTGGATCCTCTAGGTCTCCAGAATGTACCCACTACCATCAGAGCGACCATTGGAAAAGCAAGGTGAAAACAAGTTTCAAAACATTAAGTAAAAGTGAGGGGAAGAAATTCCCAATTTGGACAAAGCCTCCCTAAGCAAAACAGAAAACAAGGAGGCTCTCTGGCAATAATTCCCACCAAGAGTATCTGGGCATTTTCCCAGAATTATCCAAGTAATCCTGTGAAAAGCAAAGCTGTGTAGGTTAAATTACTTACAAACTGCCTAAATGTGGATTTTAATCAAAATTTACCTGACTGTGGAAATACAAGCCAAAGACAAGGACGCCACACGCATCTTGAGTTTTGACTCAACACTCGCCCCTCTTGGGTGTCGCTGTAATACACCCCTGATTAGAAACTTTTCAAAGCTCTTGCTCACAGAACTTTTGAATTCTGCACTCAGCTGGCCCTCGAGAAGGCTGGGAGGATACTACGGGAGTGTGGCCCGGGCCAATCATCTTGCACACCCCAAGCCACTACTTCATCGCCAAGGCACCGGAGCCCACCTGGTGCGGCGTGCCCTCACCTTACAACCATATGCCCTGGACAAAGGGACACGGGTGGTCTAGAGTGACCCTGTCAGAAGTCCATGGGCCCAGAGAAGAACAGAATTGAGGAGTGTTCCAGGTTTGAGAGCTTCCAGGTGACGCCTGAAATTCCCCCCAAAACGAGAGGGGGCTCCAAGAAGGACTGGCGGAAAGGGGTTGAGGGTCTCCCGGCTCCGGGAAGATGACAGCTCCCGCGCTCAGGCACCGCCTCCTCGCCCCCACTCTGCCTAGAGGGAAGCTAAACCTGGGAGAGGGCGAGAAGCCCGGCTCTGGGGATGACAGGGGCCAGTCAGCCCGAAACTGGCCTGCACCACCTGTCCCAGCTCGGCGGGCAGCGCAGCCCCAGGAGCAGCCTTCGCTGCGCAGCGCACGCCCCGAGCCGCGCGCCCTGCCCCGGCGCAGACCCGGAGGGAGTCCGGGCGGGACGCGAGACGCAGCTGCCCTACCTGTCCGGCCACACAGAGCAGGCACCAGGTGCCACCGAGGAGACGCGCCAGCAGCCCTGGGCGCCGGGACGCCGCCAGCCGCGCCATGGTGGCCACGGGAGTCCGGGGAGGGACCCCTCCGTGGAAGCCGTGTCCTCCGCCTCCGCGGGGCTGAGCTCCGGGCGCGGTGCGGGCTGCGCCGGCCGGCCGAGGTGCGTCCTCCGAGCGGCCTCGCAGCCCGAGGCTTTGCACGGGAGCGCTGGCGCTGGGGTGGGGGCGTTATTTGTGAATGTGCCGCTTGTCCTGGCTCCGGGTTGTTCGCGCCTCTCCCCCACCCCTCGGCACCCCCTCCGGCTCCCGCTCCTCCCTCCTGTGTCAGCCGCGAAGGCGGAGAGCGCAGACACCCAGCCGCCCGGGCAGCGACCTTGGTGCGCCTTTCGGGAAACTCCGGCGGGGCTGCACGCCGACTCCTATTTATTCTGTTTAAAGGAAGGTCGCGCTTTCTGCCCACCTTGCTTGAGTTTGAAACGCCACCCTGTCTGCTCTCAAAGAAGGAAAAACAGCCTGGGATGCTGGTGCTTTCCCCAGAAAGAATGCCAGGGTCATTTGAGCGCTCGCCTGAGCACACACGCAGCTGGGGACTGTTGCTGTCCTGTGAGCTACGAAATATTCTGGGGCAGACGATTAGGAAACTCACGACCCCCTGATGGAACGGAGGTGAACCTCTTCCACCTAATGGACTCTGTGCCCAGGAAGCTCATGGAGGTTTTTCTGTGGAGTTGATTTGTTTGGCAACCTGGGTTTGCAGAAGGAGCTGCGCTCCTGAGTGGTAGCAGCGGGGACCCGTGACAGCCAGGTAGGATGTGACTGCATCTGGCTGAGACATCTATCACCCGTTGATCAACCGGGTTGATTTGGCTGCTCTGGCTGGCTAGGCTGGCGTCCTCTCCCACTGCCTCTCGGTGACCAAACCTCCCGAAGCTGCGCGCTCGGAGGAAGGAGACGCCACCCTGTGAAGGAGGAATGTTCCCTCTCCCTAGATCAAGAGTGCTTGAGTAACTGCTTTCCCTCCTCTAAACACGCCCTCGGGGTCCCTGACAGCTAAGTAGGAACAGGAGCCAGAGCCACACACATCAGGGAGCCCGGGAAATGAATTACAGGGGACTGACTTCTTCGCTGGGTGTCTTTCTGTTGGAAAGTTTGCTGGGGGCAAGGCAGGGTGTCACCTTCTTCTGTTTGGGTTGCGGTTATTTTGTTTTTGTTTCTGATTTTGTTTGTTTGTTTTTATTATACTTGAGGGTTTACAGCTTTCCCTTCAGCAGAAAATACACTTTGCCCCTGTTGCTGTTCTTTGCTAGTGGGACCTAAACTCCTGTCTTCCTCAAAACCTGATTCTCCAGAGCCTGTCTCTCAACAAAAGCAAGATATTTTCCACCCTGCTTCCAGTCATCTTGGAGCTGCCATTAAGCTGGAAGACGTGGGGAGCTGGTCCCCCTTCGATAAGCCTTTATGATAAGGGTTCAACGCTGTGCTGTAGAAATCACTTCTGTGAAGCTCCCATGTGGACTAACTGGCATGAACCCAGCATCAAACGAGGATGTCAGTGTACTGCCTAGCAACCAGTCAGTCCGCAGACTCCTAAATTCCTACTGCGGGCCAGGCATCCTGCTCTAATGTTGCAGCCCATCACACTGAGATCAACTGGAACCCCTCCCATTTTAATTGGATAAACAGAGCAAACACAAGCCCTGCTGACAAAAAAGAGGGGAGCAACAAAGCCAGGGCAGAAAGCACCTATCGAGAATAGGCCTTACTGGTGCCAGCATCATCGTCATTTCTAACCAAGAAGGGGTTTGTACCCGTGTGTGGTATAGAAGGCCATTTCTCAGAACTCATCTATTTAATCACAATACCCATATTTACAGAGTATGAAAGAAAAGAATCAGAAGGGAAAAATAATTACCTTGTAATTTAGTATTACAGAAAGTTAAAAGCTCCAAAGTCAAAACTTATAAAGGTTTTTTGTTTGTTTGTTGACAGGATTTTAGGACAGATTATCAGCTGAAATCAGTGAAGAGCCAAAGGTAAAACATTTTTTTAAAAAATGAAGAAAACACATACATATCTGAAGCTGCAGAAAGGAAAGAGTTCCTATGGAGGAAATGTCTTCTTAAATTGAGTGAGCTACAGGCTTCAGTAGAAAAAAGCAAGACCTTGCATGGTGGGGAAGGAGTCCAACTAGAAAAAAGAAGGAAACTGCTGGGCAGGCCCAGGACTAGGCAACAGCCACTGAATGAAATCTTCAAACAGCACTCACAACTCCAAACCCCAAAGGGTTGGTCATTTACCCAATAACCACACTTTTATTTTTAAATAGGGGAAGAAACTAAGGCCCCGGAAACTTAAGTGGTATAGTTAAGGTATCACATAGCAGATGAATCCCTTCCTACCTCAGTGAGCATTTCAAAGACCGAGATGCTTCTAGTCCTTTAAATAATTCTAGAGACTTCTAGTGCTAGAAGTGCTGTCTAGTGGAGAACAAAGTGAATGTCAGGACAGCACAACAGGAGAAGGAAAGCACTGTTTGTGCTCACATATTAGAGTATCGCCATACCACAAGCCCAACTTTAGAGCTTTGTGTCAGACATCAGGTGTAAAGTATTAGTAAATAATCTGATTTGGTTGGCTGTTCACTATTTGCCTTAAAATTCAAAAGTTCTTAAAATTTCTTTTGCTCAGTGTGCATCATAAAGAATGACTGAATAATGAGAAGGAAGATATTATTCTCATTCCCTGCTGAAAATCAAATATTTTTGATAAAATATAGGAAGGGTACTTTAAAGCAAATATCTTTACTTAGCATCTTAACAATCTCCTTGTGACACAGGGACTGAGAAATGAGGTACACATGGGGTATTAGAAGGCCCCAGGCATCATGGACGGCTTTTAGTCTCACCTCAGTACCAGTTTCACCAGAACCTCTCTGTTCTAGACCGCAGGGCCTTCTGGAACTGGCAGTGGGGGATGTTTGGGCCATCAGAAGCCAGACTTCTGAAAGAATTGGAATATGGCAGTTCATGAGGCTTACCTCTCCCAGTTGATCTGAGCGGTGTTTCTTCACCAGCTCTTCAGAAACTCCAATCCGCCCCTCAGCTTTCACTCTCCTTTTTGTCCTGTTTTATCCAGCATCCTTTCCCCGAAGGGCCTGCCCTGTCAATGACGTTCTTCTCAGTGCCCTACACTCCCTCACCCTTTGGTCTTTCTTCACATCTTAACTGAAATGAACTTGGTTCTTGCTTTCTCAGTGTCTTCCCTACACAAGCAGGCCTTGCAGGGGAAATCCATCCACACAGAAGGATAAGGACTGCATCTCTACGATTGTACCAGTTCTGAGTGGACTCCAGTTCCGCCCTCAAGTCTTCTTGCATTGCTCCAGTCCGTTCTCTCCCAGCATACTACTGCCGCTCCAAGGGCTATTTTAACCTCCTCTACTATCTCAAAACTTCCAAATACTCCTTCATGCTGGTCCCTTTGATACATGCAGAACTCCAACTTTTCAAGGAAAACCAAATCAGTATAATGGGAGCTATTTCTGCCCAATCTACTTTTTTTTTTTTTCCCCGAGAGCCATCCTGCCTTTCTGTTTTCTCTCTTAGGGTGGTCTTTTACAGTGTTCTCCATCTCATCGTCCCTGCCTTGAGCTAGTAAAGAAGTGTACTACAAACCTTCCCTTTCTTATCCAGTATGTTCAGTAACTTCCTGTTACTGAATCTGACCTCTTACTAGTCAGCCATACTCCAGATCCATGTGTAGAACATGAGATCAAACTTCCAATAACCAATATATATTTTTCCTTTACAACCACATTCCTTGAAGGTTTTGTTTCCTATTGCCTCCCTCCTTTCTTGTTTATCCATAATATCCTCCAGTTTGAGTTTGAGCACCAATACTCTACAAACATAAATAGAACCTTCTCTGGTCACCAGAGATCTCCGTGCTATTGCTACCAGCAACATCATGTGGTGCTCTCTCATACAACTACATGGCATGGTTGATTGGTTGATTGGTTGATTATTATTGCTTTCCCCTATTCTTTTCATTTTGTGGTAGTGGGAATTGAACTCAGGGCCTTCACACTGGCCACACCCTCAGCTCTTTTTATTATTTTTATTTTTATTTTAGAAAGGATCTCTCTAGATCACTAACTTGCCTCACCTGGATTTGAACATGTGATCCTTCTACTTCAGCTTCCCATATGCCACCTGCCCTGGCTATTGATTTCTTCTTGAAATATGCATTCATATATCCATACCCATTTTCTTCAGAAAGTACATTCTACTTTGTCATTACACTTTTATGAAGTGGTTACTTAACGAAAATGTGTCCTCCTGTATCTCACTATGCTATAAATTTAGAGAACACTTCACCATTGGGTTCCCAAATGCCTATCCACTTCAAATTCTAACACTACTAATAACATTGACAATTGTTGAATTCATAAGTGACCTAATTAATATTTCACACCTTTAGGAGGGCTGACCTGAAATTAGTAAGACACAGACAGAAGTTCCTTGAGGACAGGTATTATGTACCACAGTTCTTTATCTCAGCACCTATATCAGTCCTACAAGCATAACAGATACTAAAAAATTGACAGAATCTACTAACAAAGTAAGAGACTATCTAATTATGTAAATCTCAAGCAAACTCCTAATAAAAATCATAAGAGCTATATATAGTTCTTAAGCGGTTAGCAAAACATATCAACAACCATTCTCTCTTCTAAGAAAATATAATAAAGTTTGAAGTTTGATATAAAACCAGTTACATTTTCACTATCATTTCAATGATCCTAACGAGAAAAGAAATAATGTAAATTATATATCCAGAAAGTGCACCATAATACAAATTGTCCTTTTAACTAAATACTTAGAAGCACAAGGGAGAGAAGGTCTACATTCCGTTACTCGGAGCAAAGCATAGGGAGGGAGGTCTATATTCGTTACTCAGAGCTAAGACTTACCTAAAGTATTCCTAAAGAGTATGCCCTGTATATTACAAAATGTTTAGCAAGAAAGGAATTTGCTGATAACTGGCTCAAATTCTGCTTTATTTTCTTCTTGGTCTTTAACGATCTGGAAGTGCCCTTCTTGTCAGCCTTTATTTGCCTCAGTAGACAAGCAAAACATGGAGAAAAACGGTTCAGTCAAGCAAAATATTTGCTTTTGACAAGTTGAAT